TCACCCTTGAAAGTCTCTTGGACAACTGTCTCAACGATCGAATCCGTTACAGTGGTATTTTAGTTGTCTGGTGTCAAAATCAACAATGTGTATTATCAGCCATATTGTATTTATATCATAACTTCAATTAAAAGAAATTGAAAAACTAATGGTCACTTCATTTAATCATTAATTCAGTTTATAAAAGGTTTTGACTGACAAATTCTAATTTTTTTACAATTTGTTTCAATTATACAGAGCAATAGTCTTTAGAACAGTGAAATGGGTATACATTTTGGTTCTTGTTGCTTAATGCAAAATTGTGGTAATACATTGTATTCGCACATGATAATTTGCCCATTATTTATCTGCTCATAAATTTGTTTAATGGTTTTGAACTCGGGATAATCACGCGATAAAAATTTAACACAATCATCACTTTAGGAAATTACATGAATATTCATGGGCAATTAATGGAAAGAACGTTGACTTTCTGTAATGAAGTGATTTTACCGTGGAAAAAGCAGCATAGTCTGCCTATATATATTGAAATACATAACCAAAAGTGCATTCAACTTTTACAAATAACAAATGTCTGCACATAAATCACGTGCTTGTGACATTCTTAAATCAGCTTAATTTAACCGATAGCAAGAACAATGTATCCAAGAACAATATTTATGGAATGTGCATAAGAAATGTTTTATCCTCATTATCGGGTACAAATTAAAAATAGATAAATTATAGATTTTTAGTCCTCCTCTTATCACTTTTGACAATTATGATTAAGTGGTGATAAATATAGGCACAAACAATGAATTTATTAACATTAAACAATTACAGGGGTAACCGAATATAATAACCACATATATTTTAATGTGTTTATAATACGGATAATAGTTAATATGTGAAAAGAGTCGGCGTTCTAATTATTAAGTGATCAGTAATATTTACATAAAAGATAAGAAAACGATCGTGATATAGTATATTTACGAATGTGCTGTTCTAATGGGTTGACTGCTCGAGTTGTTGTGTTTAATTGAATTCCCTCAATTTCATATGGGAATCAGATATTTATTTCAATTCAATTGTATTGCACGTTTTCGGAAACTACTATACAAACAAAAATATATTATAAATATATAAATCACTTGAAATATGACGTACACACAAATACTATATTCAGTGTTCACAAAAATGCAGAGACATATCAAATTTACAATTCATGCATTGTTTCTAAAACGTCAGTTCTTATTGCAATGCTTTATCTAGAAATTTATATAATTGCAATATTTTATTTTTATTATCTGATGACATATTGTTAAATACAATGGAAAAGAGATATATTTTAAAGTTGGAAAAAATACATATTGAATAAAGTTCAAAGATTTTCTTACCTCTGTATATAAGGGACAACATAATAAAAAATGGTATTCTGATTCAATATTGTTATACAAGCATAATTTACACAATCGGTTATTAAGTATAAACAAAACTGTGTTGTATACTTCATATAGTAATCAAGCTTTGGCATAGTATCTATACAGTCGTGCCACTCTTGTAAACATTGATCTCTTTTTCTCAGTTGAAATAACAAATGATAATTGATATTGACGACATTGTCGTCAACAACATACGGGAAATCTATATCAGTAACAACAGAATGAATATAATTATTTAGCCCAACGTTTATCATTCCCGTTAATATCAACATATTAGAGTGATTTTATTAGTTTTTTGTTGTTAAAGCTCTGCTTCTTGTTATTGATGTTTTGTTATGACATGGGTATTAATACAAAACCAATACATTTGACGATAACGGTGGTGTTTAGCTGTCTGTCATTTTATGTAAATTGTCGATTTTAGACTATAATAGTAACATTTGATTGCAAATCAAAATGCATTTTAGTATTAACTCACCCTTTTGTACATCATTTACATTTACATTTCGGTCGTATTTTAAAGCACTGACATTGATGTTGTTACTTTTCTGACAGATTTGGTATCACAGAAACATACGAATTGATACACACATGACATGATTTCCGTTAATGTGTAATGTTAATGTAATTAGTTGATACATATTTATTTAATTTTGATTGTTTTGGAATCTATAAGCATAATGAAACTCGTTCGAGTCTGTTCCTGGAACCAACCAGTACTTTGCAATGAATGTAAAGCTTCTTGTTTAAGGAAGCAACGGTTAGCCCCTGACAGGGTTTTAACCTATGTGGTCCTTAGATAAGTTGTCAGACGCGTGAACCACTCTGCCACGCCGCCACTTAATGAAATTTCATTTGATTTTAACAACAATTGTAAGGGATCAAATAGAAAGGTTTAATGTTTTGCTTTTGTTTTTTTTGTTCTCACAAATTCAATCGTCAAAGAACATTGTCTTATGTTTACAAATTCAATTTGCAAAGAACATTGCCTCATAAACTTACATAAATCATAAAAGATCGAATAATAATCTTAATGATAAATCAAAAGTGAAAAGCAGATGTTCTTACAACACAACCTAAAGTTACTAAAAAGATTTGCAATTATTTTGCAAGTTTCTTCTTAAATGGATGGCAGAATTTGCACTCCTTTCCTACAGGCATGCCAGTCTATTAACCAATAGCACACGTTGTGAAAAGCTCTTCTCGGATAACATTTGACGTATTGCTGTTCTGTCTCCTAGTCTACGAGTTATCAGTCGTATATCTGAACGCGTATTATAAGGATGAAAGGGATATTGTAACGGATAAAATGAAAAGTAAGATTGTTGTTTTTACAGATACTGGTTGAAATATGTTTTATTGTTACAACAACTAATTATGATACTCTTTATGTACATATTCTTGAATTTAATTAATATAGGGAAAAATATAACGAAAGTTTTTATTGTTGGTTGTTTAATGGTTTCGTTTATTAATTGTTCATCAAGTCGACATTTAATGTTTAAATCAACTATAATGTTGTTTTTTTTTTAATAAACATAACGCAGAAAAAAGGATATATAAAACACATTCATTTTGCAAAATCAAGTTTAAAATGTTATAAAATAAATGGATAATCATAGATAGATGCATAGCGCTTCTACGTGTATATCTAGTGACAATAATGTCATATAACATGAAACTTTTTTCTCTGCAAAACCATATTATATCACAATTAGAAGAGGTTATTTTATTTCTACAAGTCTCTTTTAATTGTTTAATAACACAATTTTATCGAGAAAAGGACATATCAATTCAAAGTTCACCACGTACATTTAGTAGGGTTGTCAGTGCTTAAATTATATGATCCTCGAAATGTAAAGTAAAATACGTATTACAATATAATAATAATAATAAAAAAAATAAAAATAATAATAACAATAATACAACAGAAATGTAACCGTACAAATATATATATATATTTTAACATTTTGCCATTTGGGATTCTTTTTTAAAGTTCATTTAAATGAGATATATTTTAAAATGTTCATCAATTGAAAATGAAACATAATATCATTTTTACATGAATTCTACCAAACAACAAATGAATGGACGAACGAACAAAATAATGACAGATAATCGAAAGTACGAGCAAACAAAAAAATATTATTTTGATTATTGCTGTGATCAACGTTTTTAATTTGATAATATAATCGCTTAAACAATCACAATAGATTTGTTTTAAGTGTTTTTATATTGAAAATAATTACTTATAGGGGACATGGACGGTCCATTGCACTTTCCAGTACTCTACATGTGCAGGTTTTGTCAAACCGAGCCTGCAACAATTTCAATGTGTTGTTTTAGACGTTCATTAGGGACTCGGTGTTCTCTATTTAATAGCAAATAACACATGAAACTCTAATAGTATACAATTATGTACACAAAAACTTTACAAGTTCAATTAGATTTGTGTAACAAAGAATGACCCTACAATTGTTCGAGCTGTGAACATATGTACTCGTACAAACCTCTTGGGTTAAAAGTGGAGTCATTATCTGTCAAATTGCATTGATTTCACGTGGTTACTTAAGTGAACAAGAATGACAGGTGTTACCAGTTCACTAAATGGCAATATGTACCGATATATTGCCTCATACATTTTTTATTTCTTTCTACAGGAATCTCTATATAGACAACCAATAAATAAAGATGGAAATAATAGTGTTGTTCCCAAACGTTTAAGGACCTACAAAAAGTAAAGAGTAGCAATAGGAATAAAACAAATATATCAAAGTAAGCGAATTTGTGTTTTTGTTTCAAACAAAGTGCACATTTTTGAAATTATCTTTTCCATTGTTAAGGAGCAGAAGATTTATGTCCATATAAAGATATTGAGTTCTTGTCCTGTGCTAGGGATGTGGACGATACGGAATATTGCATTTACTACTACCATAAAAAGAAAATGCTCAATAAACCTAAATCTTTAAAGTCGGCTTTTTTGCCGTGTTGAAGATCATTTGAGACTTCTGTATTATTGTCATAATTTCATTCAATTAGTGAAAACCAGAATGCCCAAAACAACGAAATTAAGAATATTGCAGGTTCGATTTGATTTAACCTGTTCATGGACGGTTGTGTAATTGGGAGCTACTGTCCATGTCCCATAGCACCGGGTTAAGCAGAATACAAAATTATAACATGGAAATGGTGAAGTTATTTTCGACAAAATGTCGAATAGCTCTACTCTTCTTTGACAAATTAAATCACACCGAAAACATTGCCACTTAAAATATCTATAATATTCTCTTCTAGAATTTGTTTGATAAAGCATAGTCATGCGAAAAACTGTTTATAACTTTTGTCAGATACCATAGATTATTGACATAAAACAATTTGTTTCAATATTATTCACAAGTTTCTTTCAAAATAGTAAGGAATAATGCTCATAAGTATTTTTTCCATACAAACATTAACGGTTCACAAAGTGTTTGTTTATAATGCACATAACGATATAATTATGTAGAATGATATTGTTTTTGAAATATTAATGTACGTTAAATGTGTGATTTTGTTCAATTTTCATTTGTCTCTTTCAGTATGAATATTGATCCATTGAACATGAATGCAAGTGAGGAATACAAAAATGCAACTGACATATTCGACCAAAATGTTTCACATGTAATTCAGCAGATCCATGAAAACCTAACGTTATTCATAGTTCCTTACCACCCACTGACGTCATTTATAGAACAATATACAATCCCTGTTATCTGTATATTCGGATTAATTACCAACACGCTGTCATCAATTGTGTTTTTACAGAAAACTCTTAGGGATAGTTCTTGTAGTATTTTTCTCGCAGCTAGAGGTTTCATAGACAATGGCTTCTTATCAACATTATTGATAGTGTGGATATCACAAACTTTCAATCTCCAATTAGGATCTTTAAGTGGATCATGTAAAGTTATCATTTTTCTAAGCTACATTTGCGGCTTCATTTCTGTGTGGTTAGTTGTATTTATAACATTCGAAAATTACATACGGATTTGCAAGCCGTTTGTTGTAAAGAGGATCTGTACAACGGCCTTGGCAAAGGTTATTGTTGCTATACTGTGTCTTATCTCGGTTTGCTTATATAATTTCCCGTTCTGGGCTATGAGTAAAGATAATTGCTTATACCTTCCGCGCCATCGTTACTCTGTGCAAGCGCTTATTTACACTGACACTGTTATAACACTTGCGTTACCAATTTGTTGCATAATATACCTTATGACTGCAATCGTTTGCAACCTTATAAAATCCTATCGTGTACGAAACTTTAGGAGAGCATCCAGAACCTCGACAGACAATCCGCTTGCAAAAGTTACAAAAATGTTGTTTGCTGTGACTGTCACATTCTTTTGTTTAAATTTACCTTCACATATCTACAGATATGTAAAAATGATCTCTTCTTTTGTGCACGAGAGTTCCGAACCTGACAGACATTCTATTAAAGAAGAAGCCATTCAACAAACAACTCTGCTGTTGTCGTATATATCAATATCAACAAATATCATAGTTTATATTATATTCGGAAGTAGGTTTAGAGCAGTGTTTTTAGAAATGTGTCATTTATGCGGCGGTTCTACAACAGAGCATGACAATCACCATGCACAAAGACAAAGTCCTGTTGGAGCAAAACAGGATAGCGGCAATCATTCTAAAAATATAAATTTCCCAGCCAACAGGTCAACATTGTTGTTAACAGACAATGGATGTTCCTCCGAACTAATGCCTTTACGAAGATCGTACACAAAATAACAGTTTAATCCCAATGAAATATGTGTTTTATAACGGCTGTTTATTCCTTGGTGTACCCTTTCTTTAAAACAAGAAATACTTCGGAGCCTTTATATGCACGCAGTAGAATATATGATAACATAGTTAATATTAATTTACATAGACTATATGACATAATTTGTTCCCGTTTATAACGTTTTATGTTTTGGAAAATGATATTTTGTAAATGATGTTTACATGCTTTCACATGCACGGTATATAATATTTCAAAAGTGCCTTGTATATTTTGTTATATCATGGCATCAATTAAAATATATCAATTACTTATATGCTTTTTTTATATTATTAGAGATATTTATAAATGTACACTAATGCACCGCATATGACATATAACGATTATAATACACATACGTTGTAACGCAAGAAAATTTTCATAATTCTTATGAATTTCTAATTATGTGTCTTACTTCTTCGAAATGATGATGATCATATTTCAGTAAAATGTATATTGTTAAGGAGATATTTAAATTTAAATCAACACAAATAGAATGTTTATCTTCGGGAACAAGTGTAACAGATGGAACATTTTCTAGGGCTTCATACTTCCCTGAAAACCTACGCGATGCTTATTTCAAATGCAGTCAATCATAAAAGTCGCCTGCAGCTGGTATTCCCATAATAGAGTAATCATTTGAAATCAACAAATTTTATAACCATAATGACAAAATACATGATAAATATTGAAATGCTGCGAAAGAAAAAAAATCAAACACGCTGTTCAATTTCAAAATATTCAAAATGGTATCACCATCAACGAAGCATATGACTTTGTATGTATATATAAGTTAGGGTAATAAAAGCAGCAAATTATATCTGCAATGAATTTTCCTCTACTTGAGAGGGGGCAAACATTGTTTAGTAATGTTTTAGAATATATGGATTTAAATAATATCTTATCACTGGAGTGATAAGTGTAATACAGACAGCAAATATTTTATAAAGAGGTACTTTGACTTTTATGCAATATTAACTAAATCACTACAATTGTATTAATTTTCAAACAGCAATCGAGGCAATAAGCACACTGTGGAGGATAAGAATTAGGGTCGGATGCTGAAAATACAATGTGAATGATCGAGTCCAGAAAAAATCTTTGCATGAATATTTTAATAATTTGTATTCATTAAATGATGAACAATGCCTTTCGAAATATTATAAACTTAAAAGCAAATATATGACTCTTATATTTTTATTTATTTTACAAAATAACATGATTGGGACATTGTTATTCATTTGGAATAACGCTTGTTTAATATTTCATTGTGTCACCACAAATTTGCAAATTTGTTGCATGTACAATGAAGGTTTATTACAAACAATAATATTACTGTTCATGTACATGTGTAACACATTTTCGATATCTATTTATCCAACAAAAAGCAGAACTTTGAAAAGGTCTCAACAGATCAATTTTATTTACTTTTTGTATTTAAGTTTAGAAATTTGACATTCTTTTCAATTAAATATTTCTAATGAGTCTCAGTGTCATAATTTAAAAGGGTTTCACATTATCTTATTTGATTGTAAATTTAACAATATTTTATATTAATTCTTGGAACAAAACTCTCTTATAATAAAGTATCATAAAGATAAACCATAATATTTATGTTCTAAAAAGAATTAAGAATTGTGAAGATATCATTATGTATCTTGTAACAATCTTTATTGCGTCCGAGGTTACTTTTACGTAGCATTTTCATTTTAACTGTTTACGAAGGTTGTCTCAATATTCTGTGACATGATGATTTTAAATGTAAATTAAAAGGTGTAAAATAAATGCTTAATATGATATAAAATACATAAAATTGAAAATATTCTCAAAGATTTACATGGTAAAACAGATCAACAAAACATGACATTGACATAATAACCTCGACAAATATGTGGATGGCGCGCGCGTCAGATGGCGTGTACATTAAGTGACTTTCTAAGGTAAACAAACTCAATCTTTACATATGGCGTAACTTTACATGTATTAGAAGAAGAAGTTAACACACAGCATCGGATATTGGAAATATGCTTACATTTATTTAAACCTAAAGATAACAAAAATGCAGATATTGTTTGACATGCGCGGGGAACTTAGACATACGCCTTTAATAATGAGTACTTAAAAGTAATGATTGCCGATATTTTGTAAATGATTTGATGTTATGAAAAACAATAAATTTATGAAGTATGATCATGTAGATTTGTTTGTGTACTTGCAATAAACATAAATTGTCTATAAAATTTGTTACAAACTTTTGGGACAGCCCTTGTTTAAACTGTAATTGTGTACAGAAAATGTGAATAAAAGTAATGGAATTGATATTTATCGTTGAGACCAATAATTTTTGTTATTTGATATCATTTTCAAAGACAAGAACAAATTTTGGTTTGATTTTCCAATATAAAGTTAACGGAATCCATTTATTTAAATTTAACAAATAAATCTGAAACACAAGAATAATAGTCTTTATGATATTTCTTTTTTTCAATTTTGTTTCATTATCATAATGATATTTAAAAACCATTAAGCTATATTAAATTGAATATTTATATCGTAGTCAATTAATCTTTAATATATTAAGTAATAAAATCTAATAAAACATCCATGCAAAAGTATATTGAGACAGCAAATTAAAGTATTAAAATATTCAATACTAAACGTCTTAATGATACAAAAAATAAAATAATTCTTATTTATGTGCTTTACAGCATTTATTCAGTTTAGCCATTCATTACGGAAGCGTATCAGAGCCTACAGTTGGTGAGATATTTTGCACTAAGTCGACTAATTTTTATTCGCATTGATAAGATGTTTTTGCATTTCTCAATAAAATTTACTGACAAAGATGAGAAGCTTTTAAGCATTGCAACTGATTTTTTCTCGATATGCTTGAGGATTTTGTCTCTTCGACAAAAAACTGTCGAAACTTCTTGACTTCGCGGCTTTGCTGAAATATTTAGTAAGACGCAAAGACGTTACTCGCATTGACAAATAGCTCACGTAATTCAAAAAAAAATTTTTGCAATGATTAAAAACTTGTACTTATTTCGTTTTTTTATCATAACGTTTTCATGGAATGTTTTATGTATTACGTATTAATCATAACGTCTTCATGGAATGTTTTTGGTGAAAACCAGTAGAAACAAGTTGACATGACGTGAAACTTTTAGATAAGTGGAGGCACCGATAAGCTTCCGTAATTCATTAAATACAAATTTATAATAATACATACAGTAACAATGTTATATAACACAATTGCATTTTTATTTAAAAGAAAGTGCACATACAACGTTAACGTTTTTTAAAGTTAGTGATATTTGTTTATTGTTAAATTATGTTCTGAACATATTGTAATATTTGGTCTTTGAGTTAGTTAGGCACATAAATTTTTAATAGATAAAAAAATTGTTACTCGTAGGTCTACCATAGACCGTGAAGTTCACATTTGAAGAAATTTATTAACTTTATGATGCAGGTTATTTAAAATTTATTCTTTATAAACTACCAAACAGTTTACATTTAAAGTTACCGAAGCTAGTTGTATTTATGTTTTTACGGCGCAAGTCATATGGCACCGAAACAGGAAAGACGATTTCATCTAACCTCGATTGTTACACACTTAAAGCAACAACAAGGGTCAAAAGAACTTCACTTGCTAGAGCTAAGAGATGCATAAATGTCAGTCATTTGAACCCATAGTCGACTTTTACGATCACGCAGGGATAAACAGTGGTTACAATTTTGATTTCTCAGCCCTTAAAGGCAACCACTCACCCACAGTTTAAAGTGGTAATATGATATTGAACACTGTATTTTAAAATAATTATATGTTAACATTGATTTCTGAGTGTTTCAGAAATATTTTTATTTAAAGGGAGACACAGGCAAATATTTCATTTCTTAGTTTTGAGTTTTTCAGTCATTATTCTGTAAATGCCCTCAAAATAAATATATTAGACAGCCAAAGGAACAAAACTTTTCTCCATATAAAGAATAAAATGGTCATTTTCTAACTTGACCCGCGTGGGTCAGGTTAGAGCGCTAGGATTTCACAATAGTTGTCAAAATGAATTCTAGAAACGTTAAATAACATGTCAAATGTATGACTTAGACTTGTTTCTATCATACAATATCCATAATATCTGTTATTGTAACTTCAAGGCTTTGTTTAAGTCATATGACTTGTTTTAAAACTATTTGGTGATTCTATTCGGGTCTCAATTTTGTTCAACATATATAGTTATATTTAAGCTTCAAACCCAAAATGTTTAGAATTTAAACAGAAATTCATGCTTAAACTTCAAGAAATGTCATTTTAGCGTGATTTGAGCACAAAAGATCATTTGAATATTTTTGTCATTATTTTGCCTGAATATCCCTTTAAAATGCTTTCAAAAACATTGCATACATAACAAAAAGAAGTATATATTCTTTCAGGCAGATCAAGGATTTTGAATATTTTTTAACCTAAATTGTAGAAGATGAAATTCATTCTTATAAATGTTGTATAGAATGCAACTTAATATAAAAAAGAGATAAGAATCATGCGTTGTGGCAATCAATGATGGTCGATGCCAGTTTTTTTCTGACAGTATTGTAGTACTTAACACTTAAACTTGCACAAATTACAAAGTCAACTTTTACCTTCTTCACAATTTAAAGTGACATTATTAACATTTTTTGCTCTCATAGTTAAGCTGAATAAGTACAAAAAATATATTTTTCAAAATATGTTGATTTTGACCAATTATTGATAATTGATAAAATTGTTAAGGATATGATATAAAGAAACTAACCTAATTATAAAAAGAATTTCCAAACTCTTTTTAAAATGGAACGATACCGATACTTTCTTGAGGATATTTATTATAGAAATTTCTGCGGGTCACGTTTATTGATTTATTTTAGTATAGCAAGGTATGACATTTGAACACAGTTATTGAAAAGTGTAAAGTAATTATGAGTTTTACCTGTGCACCCTCATTTTGAAATTTGATGAACATAATGTCACTTTAAAGATGGTACAGTTTAGAAATATACTCTGTCGAAATAAAACCGGTTAAATTTCATATGATATTTCTATGATGTCCATACATAAAGAAAAGTTAACAATACTTAAATAACAATGACATAATAATTTAGGGCGATAATTGAAAAAATGAACAATGTAAGATGTATATGTTCTTATTTGAACCTGTGGTATTTCAGTAAGCAAACTCATTTTAACACCTACTTCTACGCAGTCGGTAGGCAATCATATTTCTTTTTATAAATACGATATGATTGATATGCCAAATTAATTAAAATTATAAACATCAGTTGAACACATCTGGATTACATAATATATAACACACTTGTTTAACATCATTAACTGACAGTACCTGATAAGCTCGAATTGCGGGTGTGCTTTCGATGTTTTCATGTACTAAATAAACAGGATCGTGAACGATGATTTTGATCTTGTTATTTTAGATAAAATTTATAACTCAGTAAGTTCCTATTTAAAATACACTCAATAAGTTCCGTGGTAAAAAACTGTTAACTACAACATGTAATGAATTCATAAGCAGTGTTAATCGTTTTGTAGGAAAAAGTATGATTAAACAAAACTTATATATCTGATCAATTTAACTAGAATATAAAAGAACTATCCTGTACAATTTATTATGGAACTATCATTAAACTTTAATTTAATGTTACTTTTATTTTACAATGGCCAATAAAACTCCCAAATTTAAATTTGTAATTAAAAATGACCAATGAAATGTTTTTGTTTTTTTTTATATTAAGGTCTTCCTTGTAACTTTTACAGGAAGTCTAACTGATTTAAGACGACCTTTGGCTTGAAAAAGGTTTGTTAGACTGTTACATGTATCTGACCTTGAAATAACCTTTTACCATTTTTATGCAACGCAGGGAACATTTTTATTGCTCCGCGCCCATAGGCGCGGAGCTATTCGTGTTTACTTTTTTTGTCTATGGGCCCGGATTTGAGCAACAAATCCTTTCGATTAACAGCTAAAAGTAAATCCGCATTCAAGAACTCCTTTCGATTCCTATATTGGTTTCCCCGTCGGTGATTCGCAGCATGTCATATTAATGAATGAGAAGGGAAAGCAATTCTGCTGTTACATAAATTCGAAAGCTATAAATAGCTATAAATGTTTTGATTTTTGACTCTTAGGTTATAAATTTGTTATTTTCCTTTTTTAGTAGTACATGAAATTGTAATTTGTTACATTTTAAAATACATTTACACACAGCATATCAAGTATACTATAAGTGATTGAATTTGTCAATATAAAGAAGATTTCAGGCAAAGGATTTTAACAATTTTGCTTTTGATAATTATTTTTAATTTATGTTTATGAAATTAAATGTTCAATAATAACATGTTGATATATTGGTTGTTTTGAAATAATTAAACTTAAGTATATAAGGTAACATTTCATTAGCGTCATTGGTAAAGCATACCACTTTGTGATAATGGTACGACTGGTGACATGTTCGGGGGTCCGTACTCGACAGCGAAAGCTGCATTTTATAGCCTTACGAGCGGATCGACCCTCAGTAAGGTGATTCCGCTTTGTCAGCCAAGTTTGTTTTCACAAAGTCTGTGCAAAGTGAAAGTAGGTCAAAATTCATATAACAACAAAGCTCACATTGAGCCATTTGCAAGTACACTTCCAATTCTCCGTTTCAAAGACTATTTTAAACAAAAATAAAAATGATAACAATAAGAAATATACATTGTTTGTGCTACATTTCTGAAGACCAAAAGCATTCTGTTGCAAATCTTATGCACATTTCATGAATGGCAAAATCCAGTTTAAAGTCTATTTTAGTGCATACAAATGCTATTTTTGCAGAAAATACAAAAAAACTTTAAAAAAACATAAATCTTAGGAAAGAAGTTTATCTGACCTTGAAAAAACATGGCATCCATGACATGTGTAAAAAAGTAGTACCATGAAAATAAACATCATTTACCTATTTCTTGTGTACATGACACACTTCACTGTTACACATAAAAAGGTTAGATTTTAATGTTTGATTGTGTTTTTCATTTTAATTGTAGTTCATAAGGCTATAAATGATGATTGTTTTCTTGCACTACTTTTTTTACAAAAAATAATGGAGGCGATGTGCTTAGAAAGACATGATATACTGATTTATTTGGAGTTAAGTTTTGAAAGATTTTTGTATTTGCTGCAAAAAATAGCTTTTGTTGGCTTTAAAACATACTTTTAAAAGGATTTTGCCATTCATGAAATGTGCATAAAACTTTGCAACAGAATGTTTTTTGTGTTCAGAAATGTAGCACATTCAAGGTAAATATTCTTATTGTTTTCATTTTTATTTTTGTTTATAATTGTCCTTAAAATATAAACCTGGAATTGTATTTTCAAATGGTTCATCATTTTATAATAAGAGCTTTGGTGTTCTATGAATTTGGGCCTACTTTCACTTTGGACAGACTTAAGTTAAAACAAACATGGCTGTCAAAGAAGAATCACCTTAAGCATAGGCTATAGATAGATATCATGACAACAACAGAAACTTTGATCTGCAGTTTGAACATGAAGTGTAATGTTTTTTGTGAATGGTTTTAAAGCAATTCAACAAAAAAATATATATTGATATCCCAAAAAAATTAATAAATAATAGTTTTTTAATATATTAACAATGTCAAATAGCTTTCATATCTTTGTCTGGTACGAATATGATATTAGTGAATTTCCTCATACCTACCTAAAATTCAGGTAACAGTCTTCTATTATATTGATAAATACTGTATCACCATGTAACGCGTGTGTAACAAACAAAACAAAATCCTGAATTTGGTCTTTTGGAAATTCATCCCATTTTTTCATTCCAGAGTGTGTTATACTTTCAGTATTGAAAGAAACCATTTTTATTTACTTTGACATGAAGAATATGTATGTAATATTACTATATTATAATATTAGTCCCTTTTGTTACTATTTGTATTTTTGTTACAATTATAACAGACTTTTATATTTCTATCATCTATCTTCTGTTTCTGAAACAGAACACAGTACAGTCATGTCACATAACATTAACAAGTCTTGTAAGTCTTGTTTGTATTCAATGGAATTACTTTCCTTACCAGGTAGGCATCAGTGAAAGCATTTTTTATATTAAATATTTTTCCCCTCTTTTTAATTATGGACAGTGCATAAGATAAGTATAATTATGCAAAAAAAACGGTTTACAAAACATTCGGAAATCTCTACAATAGAACTTAATCTGAATATAATATGACCTGTGCGTAGGAATAATTTGGTAAGGTATCTGTATTAAGCACATTTTTTGCGCGGAGCTTTTCAATTGCTGCATTGCAGCAACATTTGTACTTGTAGTATACAGTAACTCTAACAATATGATCTGATACACATATGCCATATGCAATACATTCAATTTCATAAAACAACTTAATTAAATCACGTTTGCCGATCATTGCTGGCGACTATTCAAGCTCAGCATTTAAGCTGATATCTGTTAAAAGTTTGGTTCGCTGAAATTGATAGGAATGTTCCGATATGTTTTCTAAATACTTAAACATGTTTGTTGTTCATTTTAATATGTTGTATTTGTTAATATATCAGGTATAATAACTTTTAATTCTGGCGCACGTTAAATGATATTTTCATTTGCACATATTGCCTACTTGCATACATTAATGTCGAACTATTTAAACATTTCAGGCATATTATATTCCATCGTCTCAAATCATTATCAGGAGTATTTTTTTTTCATGCCAAAAAAAATGTAAAAGTTTATCAGGATCATTAGAAAGTACTATTACATTCCTTGACACACACGAAATAACTACATCAATAGAAAATAACCATTTCCTTCTGCTTTTGGTAAAATACAAAGTATTGAATTCGATCGAGTTGATACATTACGATTTACAGAACATATGTATTGAATCTATATGAAGTGACAACAGACGATAAAGAAATAATATGACTTAGGCCATATCGTTTGTGTATCATATGTATTGATCTTGCTCCTTTCACTTACAAAACTGACACATTATTGTATGTATTCTCGTGAAACGATAAAAGTTTCGCAGGTTCAATAACATTATCTGAATCAAATCTCAAGCGTAGGTTGTGTTCGTTAAGTGGATGTTCCAGAGAGGCTACAGCGATCAATAATTTATTATCCATAACAACATCTATTACCAATTTTTGAACTATGAAAGCATTAGATCAAACAATATAATAATTGTGAGTTTAAACGCGATATATGCGTACAGAATTTTAGATTTTGTATTTTTTAAAAGCATTTTATTAGTGTCCATATTGAGTGTCAAAAGTACAGATTTGCCACGAAGCTGAATCATCTTTTGATTTCTTTGCATTTTTGCAATAGATATAGCTGAGAAGATTAAGTATACTTTTGGAAGTCAAAATGCGACTTTGTTTACATTTTGCTTCCGTGATGACAACTAATTTCAATTCCCACTTCAAGCCCCATAAACAGCTATATGGAGAACTAATATACATTTGCTAGGCAATATATGCAATATATTTTATTGTACGTTGTAAAAAAAGATAAACATTGTGATTTAATAAGATTAACTTTGTGATAAAGCAATCTTCAAAACTGCAAACTTATATTCGTTAAGTTTATAAAGATTGGCAAATATAAAAAACTATAGAATCGACATTATATCGTGATAATATAAAAATATACTGTTGATCTCTTCTGTCACCAGTTACATTTACTAAAATATATAGATATATATCATTTAAAGTTGTTAGTCGGAGTCATCCAATTCTTCACATACGATATTAAGGATCAGAAAGCAGATAGATTCCATATTTTGTATACTAACTTTGTTTCTTTTCCAAGCTTCAACACAACCACATAATCATGTTATATTATTTGAACGGATACACTCCAACGCAAGAAAATTCAATTATATGACGCAGAGTTATATTACCATTTATTGACAATCAGTTGCTTGCACAAGACAATGATATGATACAGCTGTCCATTCAGCTGCTATTTAGAGCGACACATCTCCGATCATTACTATATATAGACTTTTTGAGTTCACTGACACGTTGTTACTAATAATAGCTAAGAAAGTAACCTGTAGCAGAAGGGATATTTGTCATCTCAGCTAAATTAAGTATTTACAAATATCCTATTTTACCTCGTTCCGATCAATCACTATGGGCGGATTTTCAAATTATTGTCACAAAATATCACAGAGAACGTATTCAATTCAATCAGAAGTGAAATAGATATATGTACTTAATTTCTATATTTTACTACAATGAAGTCGATGACCTTAAAAATAGTCATGGAAATATATTAAAATTTTCTAAATTTAATTTTTTTTTCTAAATTTAAAGCCTTCAACTGATATGTAAACCAAAAAGAAGAAAAAAACATTGAATATATTATGGCATTCTTCATAATTACTAACATATTTATTTTTGAGAAA